TCCGTGGAACCACCTGCAGCCAATGGTAACGCACATGCACGGACACACGCTTCACCTCCATCTACTATCTATCGAAAAGAAAAGCGCGCGCACAAGTGCACACAATGTACTGTCGGCGCCACCAACATTTATGATTTATATCTAGTACTACTATAACGACTGTTTTAATTATCTGAACACTGTGTCGAATAGGGTACTAAAGCAGATAGATCTAGTAAGCAATTGCTCCTTTCTGAGCCACACCTTTCGAATCGAACGGCTCTGTGCTGATACATAAGTCGGCTCAAGCTATTTTGTTGTGAGAGAAAAATATTGTAGATTCTAGCTGATAAGCCGGCTGATAAGTTCAAACGAACAGAGCCAAGTCAATAAAATGCGTACGTACGCATGCCAATATATATGTATAGCCGGCATTGGCAAACTATCCGTCCCCATTCAAAATGAGTCTGTCTACTGTATAACCATGTATTTTATATAATTTCAACACAACTTTTTTGCAACATAAGATTAAGATCCACCAGCCTTCATCCTTCTTCTACCTCTAGCCTTCTTCTACCTTTAGACAATTACAAGATCACATATCTACATATCACAAATCACATATCACATAAAATAATTTTTTTCATGGAAGGACAAATTACAGAGGGGTTGGTCAATTCCCTGCCGTGAGGCCCTGCCGTCGCGTCATGGGTCGTCAGATTCGCGTTCGCATCATGCTCGTGAGGCCTGGCCATCGCGTCATGGGTCGTCAGATTCGCGTTCGCATACGCGCATACCTGGAAGTCTCCGACTTGGCAGATCTGACGGACGCAAGAAACCCAGGCAACGATCCGGTGGACTAAAATCCATGTGTTTTTTTTTTTTGCTAAAACACCCATGTGTTGTATAGTATTTCTGTTCAAAATATACACCGTACCAATTTGTCATGTGGCCGGCAACTTTGAATCCTATACCCAAATATATATATATAGTACAAACAAGTTATGCAGGGAAAAGCGCCCGAGAAATTTAAATATGGACAATGCAAGAAGATAAAAAGGCGTCACTGCATGTTGCTAGACTAGCCCCGTTCGCTTCGCTGAAAAAATAAGCCGAAATACTGTTCTGGCTAATTTGTTGTGAGAGAAAAGCACTATCGTAGCTAAAAAAACAAGCTGAAAAGTACGAATTATAAGACAAACGTTTGTTTCGAAATTTATTTCGAATCCAAAAGGTTGAGGGCGACTGTCGTTTATATGATTCTATGATCATGGATGGCAAGACCTGTCCTGGTTGTTACATCCCGTTGTTATAATTTCCCACGATGTTTTTGATCGATTTAAGTAATGCTGATGATCAGCAATTAAGATGGATCATTTAGCCTGTTCGTTGGTTGATTTCTGGGCTGATAAATCTGGCTGGTGCTGGTTTGTTGTGAGAGAAAAACACTGTTGGCTGACTGATAAGTCCTAGCTGAAATCAACAAGCGAATAAACTGATTGTATGAAGTCTTATTTTACAGGTCAAAATTAATAGTTGCAGTCTGTTAAGCACCATTTGATCTTATTTGGGGGCACGGTGAGATTTGTTTTCTAGTGTACCCAAGACTCGTGTGTTTGGCATGCAGAAATGTTTTCGTCTTCTAGCCTGGAACACAAGAATCAATTCCAAATTCCAAACGTGTTGCGCTACTAGATTGAAGCGACAAAAGACCGGTTTTGCAGGAGAATCACTTTTGTTTCGCTATCAACTTCTGTGCTAACAATTATGTTTTCTTTAGTTGTAATCTCTTTTTGGTGCTACAAGCTAAAATGGGTTGTATTTTAAGTTGTCCTTTGTCCACAAAAAAGTTAGAATTTTTTTTGGAAATATACATTTAATGTATGTATTCTCATGGATTAAATTACTGCACCAGCCTTATTTGGGTGACAAGTAAAAGTAATAACAGTGGTATAGGGACCTATTTGGCTGGTGGTCACGCTTGTCACACATGCATCTCCCAGCCTTCTGTACTTTGTATTTTTGTCTCAATATTGATAAAGACACGACACATGCCATTGATATCAATGGACACATCACAAGCTGTGTAGAGAGCACCTCAGAACAACCAAAGGATTACAGGTACGTATAATATATGCTGTTTCTGCATGAATTGTGGAACCTTTTTTCCCCGCAAAATTAACAAAGTGGCGTGTAGGCCCAACGTGTTGATCTTGAACCTATTTCTCAGTGAAGATAAAAAGCACTTGGCAAAGGCCAGGTGATACGATGATAGGAACTTGCACGCTGCTTTGGAAAACGTTGCCTGCTTTCATTTCTAACTGTTCTTTTTTTGGAGTAAATAAATGAAAAACTACAACCGGGGAAAATTGAAGTGATAGCATCAACATGCTGCAACTTGCCTAGTGCAAGCACAGGGACGGGAACGGGACGGATGGCTTGGAAAACCGGAGAAGAAACAAGAAACACGGCCACTCGGCCAGGGCAGGCAGGAGCCACACACAATTGCACATGCACGCACTCCACGGCAAAGGCAGCGCGCGGTGTGCAAGTGCAACTGCAACTTGGGCTGCTGCCGTTTCTATTTTAGCCGCACCGTATATTCCAGAGCGTACGCCCCGTTCGCTTCAGCTATATTTCAGGAACAGTTTTTTCTTATTTCTGCATAAGCATCGGTATAAACCAAAATTCAGCATAAACGAACTGGGCCTTAGACGTGGTCTTCGTCGCGCCCACGCACCGCCGGTCGCCGTCTGTGATCCCAGTGATCCGTGCTGGCGATGGCAATTGGCAAATCGAGGGCGCGGTTGTTGTTGGCCGATGGGGGCGCCACTGCACCTCACTCCCTTTCGTTCCATCTCTTCATTTGACCGTATCCTCCTCGTCTACGTGGATTGCGGGTGCAGACGTGCCTCTTCCGTTCGATCACTCGATGGAAAAAAATTATATGGAAACCGTATCCGTAGTTACGCCATGCATACATGCCTTGATGACTGACACTTGTTGGTATTTATGGTGCATACGGGCATACAGCGGATGGGCGTGGCCGCGTGAACGACCTTAGCTGGAGCCGAGTCTATTTTTAGGAGAGGACCACTCCTTGGCTCGCGTTGGATCGTTGAAGTCCGACACGTGGAGGCATCCACGCCATGTATGCATGGCGCAGCTATGGATACGGTATGTATAGAATTTTTTTTTCCACTCGATGCAAGCGTAACTAAGTAACTAACCCACACCAGCGCCAAAGTCTCATTGGGCCTCACGTGTCTATCTCTTTCTACTCATTTAGTCCGGGGCACAAAATGGGACCTTGGATGCAATAAAATTGAACGGAGTACAATTTCAACGTTCCATTTGCAAATGATGCTTTTATTATAGGGGTGTGGCTAGCACCCGAACGTCCGGACGCTAGCCCCCGTCGGGATGCCTGTGCCGCTGCCCCCTGTCTCGCGTCTCGCCTATTGCACCCGCCTGCAAGCACGTGGGGCCCACCGATGCCAGTGGGGACTATCTCCGCCTTCCCACGCCTGACACCGAGACATGATAGCAAAAAGGCAAGGAGGGAGATGCAACACTCGATCTAGTTTTGAAACATCCAGATGCAACAGTTGCAATATACGACTGAAAACAAATGAAACATTTGAAACATGTGTCTGAAATACTTACAAAAACACCTGAAAAACACTTGAAACTATGGTAAACATACGCAACATCCAGATAAAACACTTACATCATCTGTGTGAAAACATTTGCAACATCCAGATAAACACACTTGCAACATACGTTGAAAAAAGCCAGATGAAACATTGAGAACAAGAGCTTGCAACATACGTGTACAACCATTGCAATATATGCAACATCCTGATCTACTTTTGCAACATCCATATAAAACACTTGCAACATACATCTGAAACATTTAAAACAGACACTTGCAACATGCGTTTTCACCCTTCTTCCGTATGACGCAAAAGCGGGAACGTTATGCTGCTTTGGTAGTGGCTGATTCTTGCGCTACCACCGGCTTGGCTTGCAACGACGCCCCTCTCGGCCGTTTGGCACTGGTGCGACGAAGGACGAAGCACGACAACACGGCGGGGGACGGAGGCGCCGCTGCACTCACCGAGCACGCGCATGGAGCTCGGAGGCGGAGGGTGAGGCACCGGCAACCGGGTTCGACAACAGCTGCAGTCGGTGCGGCGGCTGGTAGTGTACCTCACACGGAGGACTCCTCTCCACGGGAGACGGAGGTGCCACGGGGATGGGGCGCCGTGGGAGATGATAGCGGCGGCGGCGCTAGAGTCGTCGGCGGCGACGGGATCTGTGAGCGAAGCGTGGCGGATTGGGACGTTCGGACTGCTGCATGGCACCGTGAAGCCACGATGCAGGGTGCGGAATAGGGGAGATGAGCTTCCGTGGGGATTTGTTATTTTTTTAGACGAACGGCGTATGCGGCAGTGAGTGGAGCGAGACGTCTGGCGTTGCGGACATCTTAAATGGTAGCATTACCGTTATTCTAGTGTCCTACAAGCAGGATGGACCCAAGATCGTTACACATGTCATTTACGGCTATAAGCCCAGTTAAAGCTTAAAGAAACTGCCGTCTATGACCCAACAAACGAGCCCACTAAGTACCTAAGCCCGACGAAAATACAAGCCTTAGAAAGCCCAGGTAAGATATAAAGACCTCAAGTCCAGAGCGAGAGAAAGATTTCAGCCCACCAAGCATCAAGCACCACAGCCCAGTAACCCGTCTTGCCTGGCCGTCCCAAAACCAGCTAGCCCGTTTTCTCGGCCTGCCTCGCGCAACTCGTCCCAGCACACCGCCGTCGTCCTCGCTCACCTCGTCCGTCCTCGTGAGCTCCGCCTGCCCTCCCCACTGCCAACCTACTGGACAGCCCCAGCCATCTTCCCCCGCCTGTATACAGTTACAAAAGCTTGGCACTCGCATGCTCTTCGCCCCCTCGCGCCTACCGCTGCCGCGACTCCCGCCTCGCGGCCTCCGCCTAGCTCCGGGCTCCCCAATGGCCTCCACGCTCGCCGTCCTCAGGCCCTCTGCGCCGGCCCCGCTCGCGGGGCGCCGGGCCCGGGCTGCCGCGCCGGCGACCGCGAGGGTGGCGCTGTCGTCCAGATCTAGGTATTCGTCGGCCAGGGTGTCCCTTGGCTCCGAGGTTGCAGTGGGCGCCGACGCGCTCTTCGCCGACTATAAGCCCACCACCACTTTCCTCTTCCCGGGCCAGGTACGGTGAGGGTGAGGCCCTCTTTTTGTAAGTTGAGGGCCGTGTGCACGCGCGTGTGGATTACCCACATGAGTAAATTCTTTGAATGGTTATCACTATACGATGGTTCATGCAAGAGAATGTCTTAACTTTGGAATTGAAGCCTGGCAATGAATGGTCACCTTTTTGCACGTTTCAGTAAACGTACATCAAAATTTGGCCACAGAAGTTTCTGTTGATTTATATTTTGGTGCTTTAGTGCTGCTGTAATTGCATAATTCTGAGTTACTATAAATAAATACCTCTACCGTTCTCCAAAAAATAAATAGTAGTACCTTTGAGTCATGCCGACATCATTACGCCTGTCTCCTATTCGCCTGTCCATTTATTGCTGGATGCTTTGATTTCAGGGTGCCCAAACCGTTGGAATGGGGGCAGAAGCTCAGAGTGTTCCAGCAGCTACCAAATTGTTCAACCAGGCAAATGAAATCCTGGGGTATCTCCAAACCTCTGATAGTATCTACGCGTTTTCTGTCTCTCCTGCGCTTGCAGTACTTATTTATAGTCCACGAACGCTGAGTCGCTCACCTTCCAAGGAAAATAATTATAGTGCTCATGCTAACTTGTTCCTTTCATACTGGTTAATATAGATATGATTTGCTGGATCTTTGCACCAATGGGCCAAAAGAAAAGCTTGACTCAACAGTGATCAGTCAGGTATGTGGATTTCATAGTCCCAAGTAATTTGCACCAGTGCTGCCATGCATAGTTAATTCATTTTCTTTTCCATGCAACTTATTTGCTCCTGCTAAATGTGTCCCACCAAAATAAGTTTCCTGATCCATATAGTGTAGTTTGTAGTTTATATGCTTGGCTTAGAAATCCCAGATTCTAAGAGCATCTCCAAGAGTTTCAAAACACACTCCCAATCTTGATTTTTTGGCAAGATTGAAAAAACCCTCTCTCTCCAACAACTCCTTATCTCAACTCCCATTCCATGCGGAAATATACGCGTGCATATCCATCGGCCAATTCAGAGGTGGAAGGATGTGGGGAGGAAAAGGAGAAAGAATAGGTTTCCCAATGCAAATTTACAAGAGAGAAAGGAAGTATAAAAAGTGGCTGGGGTGATTTGGAAATAATCGGGGATTCCTGATGCAAAATTACCTTCTACCTTTAGGAGTGAGATATTGGAAATGGTTGGAGAAAGGCAACAAATATGCTCCCTACTTCTTTTAGCAACTTGGAAAACTCATTGATTTACCAATTGTTTTTTTAGGAACTATTGGAGATGCTCTATTGTGCAGTTCTTAAGCAGTGCCCTCCTCTGGTTTGGTTACCAATACTTGCATTTTGGAGCTTGCAATTGTGGTCAGGATCCCCAGAAATTAATTTGTTGGTTTTATTTTAAATAAGATATATTGTATATTTGTATGAGTAAGGGCATGCATAATGCAAGATGCTTAGACATATATGCTTAAGAAGAGAGAATGTTGTCATACCACTGAGCATCTGTGTGTTCCTACAATGCAAACAGATGCTTAGGTAGATTTAACCTCCTCCTTGACACACATTAAGCATTGGTGCTAACTTAAGCATCTTATCCACCTTCAAGCATCGGGTGCTATGGTTGAAGAAAAAGTTTTTTGTTAAGCATCTCCTCTAAGCACCTCCATTGTACATGCTCTAAGACTGCATAGGATTATTCCTTTGAATTACAGTTTTTTGCAGTCTTGTCAATTAAGTGCTATGTTCTGCCTGCTGAATAGTTCTTTTGCAGCCGCTATATATGTTACCAGCCTTGCAGCAGTAGAGGTACTACGTGCACGCCGATGGGGGCCAAGATGTGATTAACTCTGTAGATGTTACATGTGGTCTCAGTTTGGGAGAATATACTGCTCTTGCATTTGCTGGTGCTTTTAGGTACTCCATTCGTTCTATCCAGAAGCACCTTGTTTGTTATGTCAAACCATGTCCATCATGGAATGAACAAAGCGTACATGATAGTCGTACTTTTGCAGCTGTAACTTGGATTTTATAGTATATCAACTATGCACAGTTGCACACTAACACATCCTGTATCACCATGCAGCTTTGAGGACGGACTGAAGCTTGTCAAGCTAAGAGGAGAAGCTATGCAGGTTTGTCTACAGAAACACTAATAGATAATTTGTTTGATTTTGTAGATTGAATTCTAATGTTCATTATCTATGGTGGATGTAGTCTACGGTAATGCTAGTAGATTGCTTGCTTGTTTGGTTTTGTAGATTGATTTCTAATGTTCATTATCTGTGTAGGATGCTTCAGATGCTGCCAATAGTGCGATGGTTAGTGTGATTGGTCTGGATTCAGAAAAGGTGCAAGAACTATGTGATGCTGCTAATGAGGAAGTAGATGAAAATGAAAGAGTTCAGATAGCAAACTTTCTGTGCCCTGTAAGTGCTTTATCTGATGCTGTTGGTAACCTCGTATGCTGGCTCTTGATTGATATGAAATGAAGTACATAAAAATACATTGCAGGGGAATTATGCAGTTTCTGGTGGTGTAAAAGGTATTGAAGTAGTTGAAGCCAAAGCAAAGTCCTTCAAGGCCAGAATGACGGTTAGTGTTCCAAAAATGTTTTGCTTGAATCATATTTATTGAAATATTATCTATAATTTTATATGGTTAAGCATATTACAGTTTTCAGTTATTCTGCCTCCCATTCTCCTTTTTGTTTCAACAATCTTAGTATCTTACCAAAGGAATTTTCATGCTTAACCATTGTATTTCCAGGTTCGGCTAGCTGTTGCTGGTGCTTTCCATACAAGCTTCATGCAACCAGCTGTTTCAAGGTTGGAATCTGCGTTGGCTGCCACTGAGATTAGAACACCTAGAATCCCGGTCATCTCCAATGTTGATGCGCAGCCCCACTCAGATCCTGACACCATCAAGCAGATTTTAGCGCAGCAGGTGAGTTCTATACCAAAACTTGAATTCTTACTGCAGGCTAGGCTTGCCAGTTTCTAGGGTGAAGTGATTTTTGACGGTTGCATGGCTCTGACCGACCTGCACAACAGGTAACCTCTCCAGTGCAATGGGAAACGACTGTTAAGACTCTTATGGGCAAGGGGCTTGAGAAAAGTTATGAACTCGGACCAGGAAAGGTAAGTGATTAGTTTCCTGTTTGTGATTTATTTATTGTTTAGTAATGTTTCCTGAGTTATAGCAGTTTTTCCAAGTTAGTATAGCAGCTTGAAGGATTCTTAATAACCGAACTCACTAGTAATGCTCTTGAATTATCCTTTTGTTTTTCTGGCATCCAGGTTATAGCAGGTATTCTCAAGAGAATCAACAAAGGCGCTAGCATTGAGAACATCGGGGCTTGAAGGTCAGAGATCTGAAGAATTCTTGATGGAACTAAGTTACACAACAGAGGATTAGCCCCTGTCGGGTGAATATGAACCTACAGCCATTATTGTGGAACGAAGTTTCCACTCATAGAGTTAGCGATTTTTTGTTACTTTTTTTTACCTTCGTGGTTGAATTTTGATCTTGATGTAAAATTGACACTTAAACTTGTCTGGTCTAATGATTATATGAACAGTGTGTTTTTCACAGTATTTGAATAACAAGCACATCCGTTTGGTGAAGTTGTGTCCAAATTCAATGTCGTTCCTGTCGGTGTTTCGAGTTATCACCGATTTGAGTAAATTTTGTATTTATGCTTTGGTTTGATGGTGTGCTAAGAGGATACGAGGTTTATACTGGTTCGTTCGGAAAAGTCTCTACGTCCGCCGTCATTCACGCTCATGTTAATAATAGAAAGTTTATAATAGGGGTTACAAACAAAGCGAGAGAGAAATGATCCCAAGTTTCGATAGGAGTGAACGGGTCCGAGAGCTCGCTGTCGCCGTACCGTATGTTCGTGTCGTGTTTATCTCGTGGTTCGGTCTCGATGGGTCGATTGATCTAGCTTGAATCAGATCTCCTTCATGGGACACCTGCTTTTTTTTTATAGGCCAAGGGAAAGCACGGGTTACAAATGGAGGAAAAGAGAAGAACGAGAGAAGAATGCCTTCGTGGATCGCTTCTGTGCCTCTTCTCCTTCATGTGGGTCCCGCCGATCCTATAGATGTCAACAGAGGACAGCACTCACGTCGTGGCCTCGTCCATCACTACGCCATCTTGCGCGCAAGCGCCGCATCTCTGGTCATGGCGTTCCATTCTGCTCCTATGGACATCGTGATGAACCGACGCTACTGCCGGCCTTCAGACGATGGTCGACAGAATCAAAGACTGCAGACGCCTGACGCCGTTTCCTCGACGTGAACCCTCAGGTATGGCCCGTTATGGCCACGGGTTACATCGGGGCGTGCCGGTCTCTTCCTTGTGTCGAAGTTTTGACCCAAGTCCATACGCTGGACCTAGAGTGGTTGACGGCGGATAGGACCCCTTGGACGAGGGAGGGCCTGAAACCCAAGGGTTGGGCGAGAAGGAGCCCATGGCCTCGGGTTCAAAGTGGAGGCGAGCCCTCCCGAGGCTCAGGTCGAGGCGGAGCCTGCGCTCGGGTTAGGCGAGGCGGCTCCGCGGTCTCGGCTCCAAGGCGAGGTGAGCCCTCCCTGTCAGGTCGGGCGAGATGGAGCCCGCACTTTGACTGGGGTCGGTTGGAGCTATAGTCGCGCTCTTGACTACTCGGATGAATCAATATTGATGACCATTAGCTCCTCTTCAAGTACCCTAGTATTGGTCCCCCACAAGCCCCCCGAGCCTGCGGAGGAGTAGAAAACTCCTTCTGAGGCTTTTCCAATGGGAGGACTCGAGGGCCTTGTCCTTCCTTTGTCACCCACTTCAAGCATGTCTTAGGGACGATGATTCTCTTTAGTCGCGATCTCGACCCTCAAGGTATAGCCGTGAGATTTAGTGGTTCGCAAAAGGTCTTTCCTAATTTGAGAGATTCTACGGGTCTCTGTTGTTGCGACCGCTGCTCGGGTCTCCTTGCGAAGTCTAACTTTCCTCGAGCCCCCACCTCATGCAGTGGTGGGTCCGATCGAGGGTCGGTTCGTCTTTGTGATCGTTTTCCCTCAAGCGTTTTTTTCGATAAAAACGGAGGGGTTGTGCCGTGCCATGATTTTCCTCTATGGACGAATCATGGCACTCCTTTGAGTCATTAAGGCTAGTCCTGTGGGCCCCAAAGATCCCGCTCACGAGGGTCCGGCTTAGGTCACCGGTGACCGACTCCAGATTCTCAAATGGGTCAATCCATATAGTTCTCGGTCTGCATTCGATCGGTCCCGAGGGCTATCTCGCCTTTCTTTGAGGAAAACCATAGATCGTGATCCGGCCGAGACTCAACATGGGCCGGGATGCCCACGGCGCTCGTGCGCCCGGGTACTAGCTGCTAGCGGGCCCATCCCTTTCCACCCCTCACTCTTAGGGTGCCCCGAAGCGGCCATGAACCCGTCAGTAGGCCGGCTTTCAAACTCCAGGGCCCGAATGGGCCGTAGGAGCGTTTTTAGCTCTATATCCCTCCTTACCTACCTTGCTTCTTGGCTTATCGACCGGGCGAATCATTATCCCAAGGTGTCCTTCAAGGGCACGCCTAGAGGTTGCGTGCGCATGATCTTCGGAGGGAGATGTCGTGTCGTGGCACGGCGGGTGCTTGAATCTAGGTGGATGGTTCGCCTTCTCGCCCCGCTCCGCCTTATAAATAGTGGCCTTCCCCTTGATGTCTCTGCTCACCAAAACCGCAATCTTACCTTCTCTTTTCTCCGCCGCCATTTCAAATCGGCCGTGGCTTGCTAGTTCGCCATCAAGCCCTAGATCCATAGTCTCCGCCTCTTCCGCCGCTGAGCTCGCATCCATCCGCCCCCATCTCCAATGGATCCATGGTGCTGTTCTAACATCACCTCCCAACGCATGGAGGGCCTCGGCCCATCGCGGTCTTCTCCGCGCGACGACCTCGGCCGAGGATCGGTTATCGCTGGCGACGAGGATTCGCTATCGCCGCGACGGCTTACATGGTGTCATTCGCCCACTTCCACGAGCGTGGGCTGCAACCCCGCCCCACAAATTCCTCCGGGTCTTTGCACTTCTACAAGATCGAGCCAAGATCATCTCAATCCCAATGGGATCCAAAGACATGGCGGCGTTTGTCGCGCTATGTAAAGGATTCCCCGGGATCGACCCCACTTCAACTTGTGGAGGTATTTCTTCGCCACCTCCGTAAGAAGAGGGAGAAGGTGGCGGCGGGGAGCTACACATGCCAATGGGGTGCGCCAAAGATCCAACTTTGGAACAATCGGGTCGACGAGTACCCGTCCATGTGGCTCTCGGCGTCCAACAAGGGCCGGCACTTTTCGTAGTGGTTCTACCTCAAGAATGACGCCATCGCCCCTCTATCGGAGTTCATCGGCGCGCCGATTGAAGAGGCCCTGTGAGCAAAGGAGGAAGTGGGCGTCCCGACAAGGACAAGAGGAAGATCTCGAGACCACATCGCCGCATCCACTTCCTAAAGGAGAACGGCCTAAAGGGTCGGGCGCCATCGGGGCTTACCACGCGAGGAGGGTGGCGCCATTGATGACGCGCGCGCTTTCGCTATATATGCGATGGCGCCCGAGGCATCGTTCGACGGAACGGCGCTCGCCAAGGGAATGCTCCCCAACTCCAAGATCGCACAACGCATCATGGAGGCGATGGAGCCTTTGTGGGACAACGCGGGTGCCGCCCTCGACTTCGCTCTTCCCCGGTGTCAAGGGCATCTCCGATCGGCCGAGCTGCCAAAGCTCGTTATCCTCGTAAGTTTCCTTTCTTGCCTTCTCTTCAATTGATTTCCTGACCCCGTGAGACTAACTTTGAGAGGGGTGGGACCAGCCGAGGACCTCATCCTCACGGATCACCCAAGGCCATTGCCATGGGATTCGGCCGTGAGGGTGGCGAATCGCGCCAAGGCGAGCGGCTGAGGAAGGCAAAGGAAGACAAGAAGAGGAAGAAGTTGTGGAAGTTGTGAGGTGCGGGAACGAGGGGAGGACACTGACGACGATGATGATGGTGATGACGATGAGGTGATGGAGGTAGTCGATTTATATCGAGGGGACAACTGGAGAACGAGGATGCTTGATGGTGTTGGTTCGTCCTTGCAGGCGCCGGGACCCTTCCCGCTCCATGGAGGGGGAGGTACGCCTAGGAAGCCGATGGAGGCGGGACGCACTGGCCGGCCTACCCTAGGAGCCAACAAAGGCGGCGGCTCGCCATCGCGCCTGAGGGGCCAAGAGGTGGGTGGCTCCGCCGTCGTGCCCCCAAGAGCCAAGGGGAGCGGAGCATTCGCCAACATGCCCCAGAGGCTACCAGTGGCGAGCCTCCTCCCCAGGAGCAGGCGTGCTCGAACGGCCTCGTTCTGATAAGGCGAAGCAAGGGTCAGGGGGTTCATCCCCCAAACGCGTTTTCCGCCCGACGACGCCGAGGTGAGTTGTCAATTCCACTGTTTTTTCCTGTTTTAGTCGGATCTCATCGTGACTTATGTTTTTCATCCCTTGCAGCGTCGACAGTCAGCGGATGCCTTTGGCGCTAGCGCCGAAGAAGAGCATCACCCTCCAATTGCGGTGGCGGCCATAAATGCAGTGTCATGCTCTGCTTTTGGACGGAGCGGCACCGAAGATGATCGTATCACCGACCGGTTAGGCGTCGCCCATTGTGGCGCCTATGCCTCGGCGGGACATGTGGACATGGGTGCTCAAGGGGCGCCTTCAAAGGTCGCGGAGCAGTCGGTGATGGCCGTGATACCACTACCGATGGCGGGGCAGACGGGGATGCCTACCGCGCTTGTGGCGCCAACCATGGTGCGCGCGATGCAGCCAGTCGTGTCCCCGCTGATGTAGGTGGAGGTGGCGGCAGCCATGACAGACGGGTCATACCGGCACAACCGGAACGTCGCCGAGGCATCGGTGCGACTCATGCCATTAGCGCCCAAGCGACGGCGCCTTTGCGTGGTCGGGAGAGAGGTTCACGTCGCCGCATCACGACCCCTTCTATCATCGGAGGGGCCTGTGGGGACGCCACGATGAGAGGGGTCGGTGGCGCTTGGGGCTTTGGTGAAGTCATCCACAGCCGCTCGATGTCGATGGGCGCTGCTCACCCTCGCAGGCAAGCCCTTCTCGGTGGACGGATCCACAGGATCCGGTGTTGGCGCTTTTTACCCTTGACGATTCCGCGAAAGCATGGAGCGTGAGAGCCTCGACATAGGATCGTGTTCGTGCTCGAGACCACGACCACTTCACGGGCACATTGCACAATGTTGTTGTTCCCTCTGGCCGGGTATTGCTTGGTCCTGCCTCTTGCCCTTTTCTTCCTCTATATACTTTTTGTATCCTAACCATCGCCTCCCCTCAGC